GAAATTGCACCGACCGGGCGTTGGAGCTACCGACCCCCAAAAGTCGCGGCGTGTTATCGGCCGCGACTTTTTTTTATAGCTGGGCGAGATACTGGTGGTTAATGTGCATTGTTCGTGATCAGAGAGGTCCGTTCCTCTCATGACCTTCGTCATTTTGGGCCGCTTTTTGGAGTTCCATCCTTTTGCAATTTGCGAAATACATAGGAAATCCGCATGCCTTAGCAAGCATACTTGGAATTTGGGTCGACAGTTAGGAATTCCAAAATAAGCGGGACCTGACGTGTCCTTTCTTGTGCATGAATGTCCTCGACTTCGTCTTGGAAACTCTGGGAATTTTTGTGTGAATCTGAATAGGAATAAGATTTTTTCCCGCGTTCACTCTACGCGCGGATATGGTGTTTTTCAATTTTTGAATTAGCGTAGGACTTTGGACGAGCTGTAATGGTTTCGGTGCCCTTTTTGCCTCCACATCGGCGCCATGCATGCGAACTTCCCCCCTCCCCGTTTCCCTTGCTACCTTCAACACTCTCTTCTTTGCACTCACGCTCCTTCTCTCTCTGTAACCGTTTTTTCGTCTCTCCCTTGCCTCGCGCGCCTTTTCTCTTTCTTAATCGCCTGAATCTTGGTCTCATTTCATGCTATCCTTCGTGCCTTTCTTCTCCCCGCTCTAATCCTTGCACCGGAATACCCTGTTGATTTCCTCCTCCTTCCCTCTAGCCAAGGAGACGCGCCGTGTAAGAAGGAAATCCCTGTTACACGACAATTCTGATTGGCTACGACTGGGCTCCGAAGGATCGACATGACTTTCCTTGGGCGAATACCCCCGAGCTTTCCCTTACCCCTCCCCACCTGAGTCTTAATCCTTCCTATCATCCATCTCCTTTTCCGCAATTATAAATTTCGCAAACGCGTCCGAAAAGCTCTCTCTCAACTTACCGGCCAGCTTGCGGGAAGTAGTGGCTAGATGCTACGCGTGAAGGTGCGAGTCGAAAAGGCCTGACGGGCTGACTGTAGTCTTGCTGGCTGTGCGCTACATCGTCCGACGGACTGTGGGATCCGGGCAAGACCGTGCAGAGACTGAGTTCGTGGGTTGGCAATCGCTATGGTGGGAGTAGCACGTGACACCAAAGGATCGTCAGTGTCTGTGTGAGGATCATAATTGGAGGTTGAGTAAATGTATGGTCTGGGGCCACAGTGAAATTTCATGGCGGAGGCGCATTCAAGCCGGAATTTCCTGTCAAAGATCACCGGACTTTCCTGTGTAATTATTTTTTGCTCTCTTCTCTCTTATTATCTACGTCTTTCCTCCCTCACACCATCTTTCTGTTATGTTTTTGCTATAAGGGATGGACTATGGTGATTTCTCTCCTCTCACCTTGATATGTGCATGAAGTGGATTGTGTCGGAGAACGTGTGCAAGCATGACGGAGATGTTGATTGGTTGACCTGATGAAACGTGGGATTGGATTGAGTAGTGCGTTGAATAAATGATGTATGATTAGGTAGGATTTTTGCGCTCTACCCTTTTGCCATGTGGACCGACTGCCCCAAATTGACTGGGCGCCGACCTCCCGTGCCCCCACTGTGTCCCTTCCCGTACAACGAGGACAGGACGCGTGTATGCGAGTGGGACGTGTGAGAAGCCGTTACTAAGTTGTGTAGTGAACGCCGACGGGACCTTATTCGAAAACGGGATACTACGTGTGTACCCTCCCCCTTTCATTCGAAACGCAAGCAAACGGCTCGCTGAGAAGTACAACGACACTTTTTGGATTGAATTTCCCATCACCTTGAGCCCCGCGTGGGCCTTTTTCTTTCCGCAACCCGTGCGGCGATGGAACCCTTCTTACTAAAGTCGGACCAACACGAGGGATCTCAATTCTGTCTGTGTCCCCACACTCAATTTTTCGAAAAACCCTTGGCACACCCCATCTTTGTTGTTCTTCCCGGGTCTTTCCGCAAGCTAAAACGCTCCGGCCGAAAAACAGCACAGGGCGTAAGGTTGAGCGTCACAGACAGCAGCTGCAGGCACCTGGACCGAGCACGGGGACCCCTACTTCCCCACTCGGCCTTGGTTGAAGCAGACGTCGTGCAAGCCCTACTGCATGGGTAGGCGTGAACATGCAACTACAAACCTTTCCTGAGGGGGGTTTGACTCCCCTGTATGACCAGGGCCCCCGGGGTATGAGTCAAACTTTAGCCTAGATATCACGGGCAGTGTCTAATGACCCCTCCCTAGCCAAGGTCTAACCTCATGTCATCCCCTCGAGAAACCCAGATTGCCTGCCTAGTGATGCTACATTGTGGTTATTTTGAATGCTATTTGATTGGAAGCCAGTCTGTTGGGATCAGCCTCTGTGGGGTCTACAATCCAATCATCCATTAGCTCACCTCGGTCATGAGCTAGATACCTCGATTGTTGTTATAGGGTTGTAAACAGCCACCATCCATTAGTCTCGTCCTTAGTATGTACTAGGCCACCATTCATTTCGTTACTTTCATCATGAACTTTGTCGCTGTTAGAGTTTTGTATTAGGACGTGACGCAGACAATCTTGTCTCCAAGGAACTCCCTCAGGCAACCCCTACTGCATATTTGCCAACGATTTCCTCCACTAGAGCCTGTCTACTAACACCCTCATATTGGGATCCCTAAGACAACCCCTATTATAGGTTCCCCGCCAATATCCTCTAGCAGAACTCATTCCAACCTGTGACGTTCAAGCTCACGCCCTGTTCTGTCTTTCGGTCTAAGTGATCAGTTGTGCGGAATGAGCCCTGAAAGAACAACAAAATGGGGTGTGCCAAGGATTTTTGGGAATATTGAGTGTGGGGCCGCAGATGGAACTGAAGGCCCCCGTGCGTCCAGTTTTAGTGAGAGAGGACCATGGCCGCGCGGGAAAGAAATGACGCCTAATCCAAAAAATATCTTTGAACCTCCGTGCGGGCTACTCGTCGACTTTTCGAACGGAAAAGGGGGGGGATGCACTTTGGATCTCATTTTCGAATCAAATCCCTGCGCCGCTCGTTATAGAGTTCGAAATCCTACGTGGACGACCTTAGTCGGGTCGCTCTTTCCTTGTTCGTCTTTACCACGTATTCCGGTAGCGAAATCCTTTTTTCGATAACACTTGGTGCGGTGACAATCGCTACACAGAGTGTTAGGCCAATGAGGCGCTACTGCCATCCACGGGATGACAATCAGTTTGTTAAAACTTAAAAGGCAATAATAAAGAGTATGGGGGAAAGTGGGTATCAATAATGACAAAATCGGCGCCTACGAACCCAGAACACCTTGTTTCGGGAGGAAAATAATAGCGCCTGCCGATCTTGGCGACGACTTCCTGCATGTCCCACTCACATACACGTGTCCTTTCCTCGTTATACGGGAACGGTCGTGATGAGGATCCGAGAAGTCGGCACCCAGTAGGATCGGGACAATCAATCCACATGGCATAAGCAAAACTGATCATGTAAGTCCACTCAACCAGTTATTCAATCAAGAAAGTAAACCATCGCAATGCTACGTCCTCTATTACCTTTCATCCATCAGGCAAACCGATCTAAGAAAATGCGAGTTCAATCGAATCCAGACAACAATCATCATTCATTGAGTGGGTGGTGAGCATACATTCACATGGTCTCAACAAAATCTCAACTTAGTTAGCCCAATCGATGCATATATGTGACAAATCTCATATACGTGAATCCTCAGTTGTCAAGGGACACATCAACAATAAAAAAAATGGTAAGGTCACCTGGATTTACTAGTCCCTTGAATTCAACGATGCTCGTTCATGCGGGATTCGATTGAATTCAACAAGGACGAGCGGGACCGGGAAAGCATCGAATCACTCTGGTATTCATTACATAGACAAAAGCGAAGGCACCCTCGAAGGGAATAAAGCCCCCTACAAATGGAAATAAAAAGCATCGGTGTACCGAGTGAGAGGTATAGAGGAAAAGAGGCAGAGGGCATTGTTCCAGCCATTCAAACCAATCCAGGATCTGGCTCTGGACCCAGTAAAATGGACATGGAAGGCCCCCCAGAAGGGCGGAGGACCCAAAGTTTGTCACATTAGCCTGCACCAACTGTCGGTCAAATCAGCCTACAAAATGCTCAGACCTAAGTGACGCTTGTGGGACACGGTTAACGACCAATGGGCCAGACACCTAAATGTGGACTGCACCCTCCTGTCACGGATTCAATGGTTCAAGGAACACAAATCTAAACCCATGAAAATCACCTCCCTACAGTGGCAGATTGCCCACCGCTGGTTGCCAACCAACGACCGGTTGATTGACCGTACTAATCTAGAACAAAAAGGTTGGCTACTTCCATGGTGCCAGCGGTGCCAAAAATTTTTCCCATAAGAAAGCGGAGACCATCGAACATATTTTCATGTAATGCCCGATCGCCCAATTCGTATGGAGATGGTGGGACCGCATATGGATGAAAATGGAATTTGACATCCCCTGACCCTGGTCATGGCAAACCATATTGGCGGGCCATTGGCCGCTGGCAAGAGCAGCCACAACCTTCGTCGAGAATATGTACAGACTGAGAAGGAGGGTGGTGATATGGACACTTTGGTGGCAGAGGTGTACCCTGACCATGAAGAAGGTGAGAGTAGAAGGGTCAGCGATCACAGAACAGATTCAGCAGAAGGTGTATCTTGAACTCACACAAAAATGGTCTGACACAAAATCAGAATTAGACCTTTTCAGACAAGTTCGAGATGTTAGGAGACGGATTACAACATTTTGCACAGATTGGGTAGGAGGGGAGAGAGAAGGATGGATTGCAAAAGTGGAATGGAGTGGAGACAGGGGAGAGAGACAGTGAGATTTAACAGAAATGAGAGACTACCGTCTAGTTTTCAAAGACTGGACAAACATAACCCTCATTCCCACTACGCCCTCCCTCAGACTTTCTAGACCCCTTCCCACCTCATGCCCTTTCCCTGACAGACATTATGTCCTGAATGTTAAAATACTTAGCCCAATATCCTTTACATCCAAAAACCCTATACACGATCCCACTAGTTTTGGGGCGCAGTGCGGCTGATAGTGTCGCGCCCCGCCCGCGCGGTTAGGCCGAGTGGCACCGAGCGGTGACATGCGGCGGAGCAGTGCGAAGTCGAATCAAGCGGCGCTGGACGACAACAAGCGGCGGTGCGGTGCGGTGCCTGGGGGAGTGGATTTGGGATGGTGTGAGGTGGTGGTTTAGAGGTTTTGGGTGAAGGGATGATGATGGGAAGGATGGCGATAAAGGTGATGCATCGTGCGTAGAGGATGAGGCTACTACGAAGAGGCTGCTTGTGAAGGGCTGCGAAGGGTATGGGCTGCCAACATCATCATCAGAGCTACGAATGGCGGGGTGTCACGTGTCCAACGAAAGAGTTAGGTGATGAAGGGCAACGAAGGGCATGG